TCAAGGAGAGGAAGAGAAAGGAAGAAACTGCCGCTGTCGACTGTTGCTTCCTGTTGTGCACAAATGTATGCTGAAAAATTTGTGACTGAAGGAAAGATGGGTGAGTGCGCATGTGAAATATACAAGTCTTTGCAGTCTTATCTCCTGCCTTTCACACACACACACACACACACACACACACACACACACACACACACACACACACACACACACACACACACACACGCGCATGCATGCATGCATACATATCTGAAGATTGAAATGCTGCGCTGGTCATGCTGCAGCCCATGCTGCCTACTTTCTGTGTCTGGGAAGAGACATCAGTCCACATGACAGTTAACCATTAACCGCTTTTTGCAAAGCTGGCTGTCTCTATGATAGTCACTGGAGTTATTTTTGAGGTTCTTTTAGGGTGAAAAACATATACTTGAACTGGCTGATGTTTTTCTCTTACAACAAGAATAAGCACCCAACCCAAGTAGAAATCTGATATGTCAAAGTCCTTTGCACACTAGCACGGTAAACTGTAACACAATATACTAACTGCAATAACAACATCATCCCTTGGCAATCGTAAACTAACTACTTACTGTAACCTTAGTTCTCTTGTTTTATTCCAACAGCATCAGGGAAAACCAACATTAAAAAGAAACCAGAGACTCCACATGTCCTCCTGTCTTTTGGTATTAGCTAAAATGTGATGTGGCACAGTTTTATACGCAAGTTTTACAGCTGCAAATGACTTGACTGTAATTTATGGAAGGAAAGATAAGATTATTTGCCATGTTATTGCTGAAAGGCACTTGTGTCAGTATGAACTGTGACATTCTGTTTGTGATGTCTACATAAATATGTGACCTTTCAAGAGCTCTTATCATTTTAATCCTAAAACAGTACTTTAACACTGTTTTTATCTCTTTTAAATGTGCTACTTATAAGTTGCTTTCCTTACCTTACACGAGGCACAGCTTTCCAGCATTGAAGCCGATAGTCTCCCAGGAAATGAAGTTTTCCTTAAAATGATTTCCACATCTTCCTCGGTTCTTCTCCTTCGGCAAGGCTTTGCTGTAATTTACTTTCTGTGTTTCAGCATGGGTTTGCGAACCACTAATGCCTCACAGAAAAGGCGTCCACCCAAACACAGGCTGCGTCTTTAATGTGTGTAATTATATGGAAAACACACTTCATCTTAGGTGTGTCACATATGTTGTGGCTAATTTTGTTTTTGTCTGAGCTAAGATTAGGTGGTACGTCATCAGCTTTCAGAGGCAATCTGTGTTTGTCTCAACCTCTACATGATTATATACCACGTAAGTGTGAATAAGTAAAGAAAAGGAAATATGCACATGCGTGTAAGCACACTCTTCTCATAGGATAGTGTGTCTGTCTTATTAGATTAATATTTCCTGTGTTCGTGTTTAATTTTAGTCTTGTGTGATAATGGCCGCTACATGTATGACTCATAGCTCGTGTTGTAACTTTAGCTGTGTGTGAGGTCTCTTTCTGCTCCTGTACTGTTATTATCCCACTCCTACTGTACCACACCTAGGCTTACTTGATGATGGACATTCCTCTGTTCGTTTTGCGAACCCCTTAAACCTTTTTCCTATTTATATTGCAGGGGATGTGTTTGTTGAAGCAAGATCAGACCTGTTTTGATGAACCAGTTACATAAATATCTGATCTTCCTGGTTTCCCCATGTCCAAATGTCGCTGCTTAGAGGATAAAGGATGATACATTAGATGCTGACAATGCAGTAAGGAATGGAGAGGGTCAGCAGACCTAATAAACATTAGCATAGCACAGGGGTGTGAAACATAAGGCAGGGGGGCTGAAATTGGACAGACTGCGATCCGGCCCACTGAACAGCTTTTAAAAATGTGACGGAGGGCAGATATTTTTACTTTAACTGTAGTTTAAATAGGTTTTTATAGTTTTTCCTACTGATAAAAGTCCCACCCACATTTTTTTTTACAATAGGTTCACAGCAAAATAAAGAAATTAATTATCAGATTTTTTTCTGTAAGCAAGGTCCATAAAGACATGGATGAGCGAGTTTAGTGTGGAAGAACTTGACTGGCCTGCACAGAGTCCTGACCTCAACCCGACAGAACACCTTTGGGATTAGAGCAGAGACTGTGAGCCAGACCGTCTCGTCCAACATCAGTGTCTCACCTCAGAAATGTATTTCTGGAAGAATGGTCCAATAAATACACTTATAAACCTTGTGGAAAGCCTTCTGAGACAAGCTGAAGCTGTTATAGCTGCAAAGGGTGGGCTGACATATTCAATTAAATTCTTCATTATTGATTAAGAATGGGATGTCTCTTAAATTCATGTGCATGTGAAGGCAGATGAGTGAATACTTTTGGCAGTATAGCGTATCATAAAATGCACTGTGGTAACATGACAGTAGTCATGTGGTGTGGTGTTTTTGTGTTTTTTAACTTGGTTTAGGGAGGCTTAACCTGTCATCTGGTGCATAGCTGTTGCTTTTTAACCAGCAGTCAGATGCTACATGCGATGTTAAAAGTATAACGTCCAACATCCCACAGAATGACTAACATGTGACTCATGATTGAGAACAGACATTGGAAACTATAAAAGAGTTTGTGGATGATCTGCACGTCTCTGTGGATTGGTCATGTACTATATTATGATTCATTCTTACCCTTATTTGCCATAAAGACAACAAACCATGGCAACAATCTATCCAGACACACTTCGTAGCAGCTCTAAATTTGGAATTCATGGTAAAATTACACCAAAACAGTGATGTTGCTAATACACACTAACTAAAATGTTTTTGTTGACTAAGCTTGTTGTTAGCAAGAGCTCAGGGCTCAGACTTTGTATCTTGTAAAAACTTTTGTTAGTAGCTTTTATGTTTGGGTTAGCTGTCAAGATAAATGAACAGGATTTGCTAGTGCGTTCTTTCAGGGTAGCATATATTCCTAATATCATTCATATGGACTACACTCAGTGCTTTATAGGAACATTAACTATTTTAATCCAATCATCGACTATAAGACCACAGCGATTTCAGAAAGCCCTGCCTCATAATACACACATTGACATGTATACCCACACACACAAGAGAAAAGTGGGTCTCAGGTAGAGGTAGATACAATGGAGAGCTTGTTCTGACCTGCTTTGTGATTAGGAAAATGGCATGTGGGGAAGTATAGCTGGAAAAAAGAAGGAACGGCCAATATGAGGAACAAGAAGGGTGAGTGGCACCAGTCTAGAGATGTTTCACATGTAAACTGGGTATACTGGAGAGAGAAACAGTTAGAAAGTGACCTTTATTCACATGTAGAATATGATTACATGTAGCTAAACAACAAGTCTATATGATGCTTTGTCATTTCTTCAAACACATTAGATTTATGTGTGGGTGTTGATGGCTGGAGTGTGCAGGTGGCAGGAAACACTATGCCCACTAGTGTGAATTCTCTAGACAGTTACTCTTGTCTCTTGAGTGGGCTGAGCTGGCCATCACATGGAGTTTGTAATAGGAAGATGGAGGGGTATACCTCCTTTAATGTCTGACCTGACTGAGTTAGACATTTTTTGGTCTCACGTCTCTGTTGGATGTCTATCAATGTTCAGGGCTGCAGTGTATTAAAGCAGCAGTAGTGTAGTGGCTCTATCCAGAAATCCCTGTGGGGTTGTGCCAAGAAGGACATCTAATGTAAAAACCAACAACATTTCTTTGTGAAAAGAGAACAGCCAAAAATAGCTTTTTGGCATGTTTTTGTTAGAGCTGAGGTATGGTGGAAAGAAAATGTGAAAGAGCAAACATGGGTCGTTAAGCTTAATCATACATCTCTATACCTCTGTTTCTATCTTCACCATCTCCTTCTGACCTTTGGGTCACAGCTGTTACTCACAGTTTCAAAGAACAATAACACCATTGTTTAGCTGGATGGGAAGCCTGAGGACAGGAGAGGTGGAGGAGAGGACAGGTATGGAATGGGAGGAGGAGAAGGAAAAAGGTACAAAGAGAAGAGAGGGAGGAGGCAAGAAAGACGTAGGGAGTTTTCAAGCATCTGTGTACAGGTAGAGTTAGTCAGGGAGCAGTATCGGTTTTTGATACCGGCGACACGGGCGGTTGCCCGGGGTGGCATCATGGTGGGGGACGGCATCACGGGCATCGACCAAAAAATAAATAAAATTGCTCGTACTCATGCTGCCTCGACGTCATCCCAGCGCATATTGGGAATGGCATAGGCACCGATCGGTTTTCTATCGCCCATTTGCTGGGAGTAAGGGCGCCCTCCGTTTGCGAGGTGCGCCTGCTGCTTGCGGCACAGGGAGGAGAGGGCGGGGCGGCGGGGGATTCTCTGGCTGGCTGGCTGGCTGGAGCAGCGTCTAATAACCAACTCGCAAAATAAAACAAAATAAAAACAAAACAACAAACACGAAAACACCAGACATCATGATACAGACTTATAATTTGCACCGATGTTTTTTCGAAATTCTATACACGAAAAGTGAGCGCGAGAGCCCTCGGTGCACCTGCTCGCTGCTGAAGTCAAAGTAAACTATACTGTCGTCTCCGCTACTTACAGTCCAGTATATAGAGACACGAGACGACGAGGCTCCAGTTACAGCAGTGCAAGTAAACAAACAATAAATATAAGAAGAGTAAGAAAATAAACATATACATTAGGAAAGGGATCAATGACAATTTAAAATTTATAATTTACAGTTTGAAGATTTAAAGTCTTACACACAACCCTTCGAAAGGGTCAAAAGCTCTTTCCAAATAGAGCACATTTCATTCATAATGTTGTAAATCCAAGCCCATAATGTATTATTATGTATTCATGATTTGAATCCCGGGTTGTGCGAAATCCAAGAAATAAACCCTAGACAAAGCATATCTGTGAACTAAGGTGTAGGTCTATTAGGTTATGTTGTGGTGATCCTCGAGTTGGGGGATGGGTGTTCATACTGGAGTGCAAAATTAAAACCAATGGAAGATGGACAAGGGAGTGTTCGCCCAGGGCGCCAAACGGGCTAGGACCGCCACTGTCAGGGAGAGGTTATGTTGTGCAGTGTGAGGAGTTAGCAGAGTAGAAGGTTAAGGTCCCTGGATCAGCAAGTCTACACAACTATCACGTTTCTTGATAACAACATAAAAATTCAGCAACTGTGGAATTGAACAGTCTCACTATATTTTCTTTTTAATGCAGTTTAATGCAATTTTTAAGATTTTTTAAAATTTTGCTGTTACACTTCTGCTGATCACATACTGGACAGAAAAATCCACATAAAGTCAGTACCTGTGGGGCAGGAGGGCTGATGGGGAGTAGATCTAATAAGAAAACCATTTAAGAACCCTTTAAAATGACCTGATCATGTTTGTTTCAGTGACATGTGTAGGCCAACTCAATGTGTCTGAGCCACAGATGTCAGGCATGAACTCTGGAGGTCAGAACCGCCCACCAAAGGGTCCTTTGATGGATTTGCAGTTTGAAAATTGCAGAGGACACAGGCATAATTTTCATACTGTTCACTGTTATTAAGAATGAGTCACATCATAAGACAGATTGTCTAAACTGTTAATTTATCCAAACTAGTGTTCTGAAGTATCATTAGGTTTATCCATCATCTGCCATACTACATCAAAGTAAGGTAGTCAAGCAAAGGAGCCAGGGTGACATGTAAAGACTAAAAATATGCAGAAAAATGAGACATATTGTTGAAAGTGCACTCATTACTCAGACATCTTGAAATGGTTATCATGTTTAGGGAATGTCATGGTAATTTCTGGGCTTTGTTATGAACTGTTCTCTTTTAAAAGTGGAACGATTGTACAGCATGCATCTTTAATGACTTAAAAAACAATAATTGAGTGCACAAGTTTGTATTTATTTTGGAGTTACACAGACTCCCACTAATATTGATTAAATGTCTATTAGCAGCGTGCACCTTGACCAGATGCTTTTTACAATCATAAACAAGCTTTGGCATAATTCTGGCTGGACATGTGACCACTCTTCACAGCAGAAGAGTTGGTTGGTTTCCTGACATTGAACTGGCCTTTAAACACAGAACACAGATTTTCAATAGGATTAAGATCTGGAAGTTCATTCCAGACACGTAATGGGCCATTTCTCAACTACTGCGGAGTACAGGATCTTCAGTTTAAGCAATTGCATGTAAGTACAAGTTATTCTGATATGTCATCACTTTGTCAGTCGGTGCTGAGCAAGAAGGAAGTTCCTTTTCTAAAATTGACATCTTCAAGCTCGAAACTTGTAGCCAAATGCTTTCTGGACAAACATGTTATGATCAGACGAGACAAAGATTGAACTATTTGGCTAAAATGCCAATAAATATGTTTGAGGATGAAAATGTGAGGTTTTCAAACCTAAGAAAAATGTATGAGCTGTCAAGTATGGTGGTGGTAGCATCATTGCTGTTCTGCTGCCAGTGGTACTGATACATTGGACAAAGTGATGAAAGAACGAAGATGGACTGCCTCCAGGTTCTTCACCTCAAATTATTAGCTAGATGGTTGAACCTATGACACAGCTGAATAGTCCAACAGCACAAGGATCCAGGCACACATCAAAAGTTTTAGGAATGTACAAAGTATAGTAATGTTAAGCTTCTGAAATGGCTTTTTCAAAGCCCTGACCTCAAACTTAACTAATATTAGTGTACATATTCAGCTCCTGATGCTGTGTGGATTTGAGAAAATCCAAAAGAAATCGTTCAAATTCTTGTTTTTTAGATACTTTAAAGACGTATGCTGTACAGTCATTCCACTGACTGTACAGCATACGTACAGTGATCAAGGAAATTAATGGAAAGCCTCAAATCACAATGCCCATGATGAGTGTTTGTAAACTTCTGACCACAAGATGTAGGTATCCTTGCATCTGTCCCCATGATCTAAAACGAGCTTAGATCTCTGTATTCCTGTCTTTATTAAACGACTTGAACGTGAAATGACCAGCAATACTTTTAAACACTTGTTCACATAGCTGAGGCTAGAATGCGGTGTTCTTATTATTAAATTCAGGAGTACATTTTAAGGTTCTTTACACTATAAGGTAAAGATGCTACAGTACAGTAAATGACTTGTCAAATTGTGAAGCACTTGTGTACTCAAGTAGCCACTTGACATATTACAGTTTAGTATTTCCATAAGTTTCATCATGGCCAGTTAATAACTATACTAATGCTGGTGTGCTTAAGTATATCATAAGTGAAATATAAGTTGATATAGTCAGTGTGGTTGGGTATTTTATTTATACTTGTATCACTGTGGATGCCAAGGACATGAAGGAGGAGGAGAAGTGGAAGTACAGTAGTAAAGATTTGAAGCTGCAAGTCATCTGATTTTAGATGTGCTGTAGTTATAACCTTGATGAAGATTGTAACGACAGTGGGTTTGTGTAAATGGTTGGTAGTGGGAAGAGACACGGGGAGACATATAATTCACTATAAGGGATTGCATGGCAGACTGACAGTTATCGTAACGAGTTTCTTTATTATTATTTGAGTGAAGTTTAACAAACTTGTCAAAGCAAGAACAGGACTTATGAAACTGTTACAACAAACTGCAGACCAAATGGTTGTAGATCATGACAGTGAGCAACCCGACACAATACCAGGAACTTGAGACTGGCATACTAAAATGCTGTAATACTGTTAGGTTTTCAGTCCATCACATGTGTGCAATGAAAAATGAGTAATTACTCAAGGTCAAGTTGACAAGCTGTTCTCACAGCAGAGAAAAGCAGACAGGAGGGGAAACACTGAGAGCGACACCCCAGTGCAGGTGCAACACAAACAGACAGTACGTGCACTCAGGACAGCTTTGGCACTATATCATAGTTGAAGAGTTTGTTCTTGCTTGGTGGAGAAATCCTAGACTTTAGACTATTGATCAGTAAGTGTCACTTGTACTTTTCAGTTTGTGCCAGGGAATGTGCTGTATGTCTGCTCTCACTGGGGCTTGAGCCATCTCTGTGAGGGTTTGAAGGGCAGCTGGAAAGTAAAAACATGAACTACACAGCAGCTACGCAGCTAGTATAGCTCACTATTTACTCTTTTAGATTTCATCACCTTTTCAGCAAAGTGTATTTGTTGGTGTGTTATGTAACGTTAAAAGCTGGAGTGCTGCACAAGCATGTTAGCATGCGAGCTTTTGTGCTTGTCAGTGTGTTGCTGTGCAAAGATGCTTTTATATTATCCTCTGCTATTTTATGTATGCTTGTTTGTGTGTCCTCAAATGTGTGTGTGCAGGGAGCAGGGGCATCTCTCTGACCTGTGTACTGACCCCCTGTCGGGTAATTGGAGTGTGTGTAACGCTGATGACCTTGGGAGCCATTGGAGCAGCCGTTTGGGCCGTAGGTCAGACTGCAGTTCTTGCACACCTACACACATTTGGTTCAAAAGTGTTGACGAACATAATCTGTTATTGTTGATATTTCAAGCAGTTGATATTCTGTGCTCTGTGCTCTGTCTGATGATGCAAATGCTTTCATTGTTTGCTGTAACAGACTGATGTGCTGTTTTTATTAAACTTTGTAGTTACATATTGCACAATGGAGGAAGACATAGAACAGTATGATGGTGAGTCTACTGATAGCTTTGAATGTATGTCTTTCTTTCTTTTTTCTTCATTCTTTAATTAGTGATACCGTCAGAACCCCCTCCACCCCACCCCCCCACACACACACACACACACATATATATATATATATATATATATATATTTTTATATACTACATTACAGGAGTATGTGCTATTGGACCAGTAGTTTTAAAAGTTGCTCTTACAACTCCCCACAGTTCAGGTAAATTCACCTGACCAGCATCTCAGAGTCTTCGACTCCACTCACAGGAGGTGGCGTCAGGTGTGTTCCTCCCCAGTTGATGAACTGCTAGCTAGCATCAGCTGTGAAGAAGTGGGATTTGTCAGGTGTGGTAATTTCACAGTTGTATCTCGTTGTTTCAGTGTGACACACTGTCATCCTCGGGACTAATGTGTGCGCGTGCTTGTTTCAGCGTGGTGAATTACTCAGTCACAGCCGTGTCAGAGGCCAGCAGCGATGCTGGAGACTTCTTCTGCGTCAGACAGGAAGAGCTCAGCTATGGCAAGAAAATCAAAGACTCATTGTATCCATGGTAACGCATACACCTGAGTGGCTGTCTGTCAGCGGTCTGCCCTTCTACTACACTGTCCTCTCTGTTGCTCTTCCTGTCTCTTCTTTCACTCGTCTTCTCTGTTAACATAGAGGACAGCCGAACACTGGCTTCAGTTTTTGGATGTTTTCTGTGTCAGGTTGTTACTAACTCTGTCCGTCTTTGTTTCAGTGACTGTGAAAGCCGGGAAGTTCTCACACTGTTGTGCCAAGGTAAGATCGCAGATCTCCACTCATTCTGTCTGACACACTGGCCCACTTTATACACCGACACCCAACACCAACACTGTTTTCACCCCGGTGTGTAGAGCTCCCAGACACGGTCTGTTCTTGTCTTCTTTCTACTAATCTCACATGTATTTATTAAGCTATTGTCTGCTTTGTTTACTTTTTTAAATGGAGCTATTCTCATTGATTTCTTGTCCATAATATATCAGTCTTTCAACTAGAGTTTAAAAAGTAACTGGTCTTTTTCCTCACTGTTACTATCTTAAACCAGACTGCGGCAGACGTAGTTTTGCGGCAGACCGTATAGTGGGTGGTGTGGACGCCAGGCACGGCAGCTGGCCTTGGCAAGTCAGTTTGCAGTACGATGGTGTTCATCAGTGTGGAGGATCCATTATCTCAGACCGCTGGATTGTTTCTGCAGCTCATTGCTTCCCAGAGTAAGTGAAACAGATAGATTTAACACAGAAACAACAGCTTGATGGATTATTGTAGCTTTTTGGAAAATCCAAGGCATACATGAAAGTTTAATAAATTTGTACAGACAGTTTGAATGAAACTGTAATTTTACTTCTATGAAAAGTTCATTTTCAACATAGCTGTGTGTGTATTTTGCCCTCGCCACATAGGGACAATCATCAGACTGCTCTGCCTGCTGTTTTGTTTAACGTAGTGTTTGCATGTAAATTTAGATGTTTGTGTGCATAAAAAAACACATCACAGCTCTCCTATTTTTGCTCTTCTAATGCTAGGCGGTATCGCTTTGTTAATCGCTGGCGTGTGCTGTTGGGCTCCATCTACAATAAACCTGTCAATGCCAACGTAGCGGAGGTTAAGACCATTGTTTACCACAGCAGCTACCTGCCCTTTGTAGATGCTAACATTGACGACAACAGCAGAGACATCGCTGTCCTGGCCCTCACTCAGCCTCTCACTTTCAATGGTAGGACGCATTTGCACATCATCAAAATCTGCCTGGTTTCAGTAACTTACCTCCTAAATTTGATCCAACATAATTATTTCAGGATAAAAAAAATTGCAACTGTTGGTTGTTCCTGATGCTTTAGGGTGACACTAAAACTTAAACAAGCACTGTGTGCAGAATATTTTACATATTTTAAAAACACATATATATATATATATATATATATATATATATATATATATATATATATATATATATATACATATATATATATATATATATATATATATACACTCAACAAAAATATAAACGCAACACCTTTGTTACTGCTCCCATTCCCCATGGGATGGACGTAGAGACCTAAAATTCATTCCAGATACACAATATAACCATCCCTCCCAAACAGTGGTCACAAATCAGTCCAAATGTGTGGTAGTGGGCACATCTGCTATATTGAGATAATCCATCCCACCTCACAGGTGTGCCACATCAGGATGCTGATCTGACATCATGAGTAGTGCACAGGTGTACCTCAGACTGCCCACAACAAAAGGCCACCCTGGAATGTGCAGTTTTGTCTCACAGCAAAATGCCACAGATGCCACAAGCAATGAGGGAGCGTGCAATTGGCAGATTGGGTACATAGCCCCAAGTGCGATAGGAGAAGGATCGTTGAGTGCGAGAGGAACTGACCTGAAAAATAGGATCATGGCCAAGCTTGAAACCTCGATCCCCCGTAGCCGGTTACCAAGATTACGTGAAGTACCCTCAGAAGGTCTGCTAGATGATGTTAATGCAGCACTACGGACAATACCTACAACCACGATTACCGACACTAACAAGCTGATCTACAATACGGCAGCAGTGATCAGTGAGATGCTTGGCTACAAGTTGAACAGCCACAAGGGGCAGTACCCTCCATGGAGAAGGAGGCTAGAGGGCAAGATCAAAGTAGCACGGAGGGAGGTTAGCCAACTAACGGAGTTGCAGAAAGGTGCGACAAAGAAGGTGCATAAGAAATACAGCAAGCTGTCCATACTTGAGGGCCTTGGAAACTGCCAAGCAAAGACTCACAGCCCTAGCCAGCCGCTTGAGGAGGTACACCAGAGAGATCGAAGGCAGGAGAATAAACCAGCTGTTCTCCACAGAACCAGCAAAGGTGTACTCTCAGTGGCAAGGGAACAATAATAATAAGCGAACAGCACCACCAAGGCTGGAGACGGAGCAATACTGGAAGAGCATATGGGAGAAGGACGCAACCCATAACGGCAATGCTCAGTGGCTCTGAGGGCAGACCACAGCGACCTCCCTGAACAGGGTCCAGTAACCATCACAGTGGCAGATATCCAAGAAAGGGTCTCCAGTATGAAGAGTTGGACAGCACCAGGGCCCGACATGGTTCACGCCTACTGGCTAAAGAAGCTGACTGCACTCCACGAGCGTCTGGCAGCACAAATGAACCAGCTGCTAGTTAACGAGAGACACCCGGAATGGCTAACCGAAGGTCGGACGGTCCTGATCCCCAAGGACCCCAAGAAGGGACCGGTCCCCTCCAACTACCGACCAATAACCTGCCTCAGTACTACATGGAAGCTCCTGTCAGGCATCATATCGGCTAAGATAAACAGGCACATGGGTCAATACATGAGCGGGGCACAGAAAGGAATTGGCAAGAATACCAGAGGCGCAAAACACCAGCTACTGGTAGACAGAACAATCAGCCGAGACTGCAAGACCAGACTGACCAACCTGTGCACTGCCTGGATTGATTACAAGAAGGCCTATGACTCAATGCCCCACAGCTGGATACTGGAATGCCTAGAATTGTACAAGATCAATGGGACCCTAAGAGCCTTCATCAGGAACTCAATGGGGATGTGGCGTACAACACTAGAGGCCAACTCCAAGCCCATAGCACAAGTCACCATCAAGTGCGGGATCTACCAAGGAGATGCTCTGTCCTCACTGCTGTTCTGCATAGGCCTGAACCCCCTCAGTGAGATCATTAACAAGACTGGCTACGGATACCGACTACGGAACGGAGCAGTTGTCAGCCACCTCCTGTACATGGATGACATCAAGCTGTATGCCAAGAGTGAACGAGACATCGATTCACTGATCCACACTACCAGGCTATACAGCAATGACATTGGAATGTCGTTCGGACTGGAGAAGTGTAGTCGGATGGTAACAAAGAGAGGGAAGGTAGTCAGAACTGAGGGGATTGAACTACCAGAAGGCAACATTGCAGACATAGAGGACAGTTACAAGTACCTGGGGATCCCGCAGGCGAATGGGAACAATGAAGAGGCCGCTAGAAAAGCTGCAACCACCAAGTACCTGCAGAGGGTCAGGCAAGTCCTGAGGAGTCAGCTGAATGGTAAGAACAAGATCCGGGCCATCAACACGTACGCCATGCCCATGATCAGGTACCCTGGTGGGGTAATAGGCTGGCCAAAGGAGGAGATAGAAGCCACTGACATAAAGACAAGAAAGCTCCTTACCATGCATGGAGGGTTTCACCCCAAGTCCAGCACCCTGAGGCTGTACGCTAAGCGGAAGGAAGGGGGCCGGGGACTGGTGAGTGTCAGCACCACAGTCCAGGATGAGACAAGGAACATCCAAGAATACATTGGGAAGATGGCCCCAACTGACCGAGTGCTCAGTGAATACCTCAGGCAGCAGAAACCCAAGAAAGAGGAGGGAGACGAGGAACCATCATGGAAGGACAGGCCCCTGCATGGTATGTACCACCGGCAGATAGAGGAGGTGGCTGATATCCAGAAATCCTACCAGTGGCTGGACAAAGCTGGACTGAAAGACAGCACAGAGGCACTAATCATGGCAGCACAAGAACAAGCTCTGAGTACAAGATCCATAGAGGCTGGGGTCTATCACACCAGGCAAGACCCCAGGTGCAGGCTGTGTAAAGATGCCCCAGAGACAATCCAGCACATAACAGCAGGGTGCAAGATGCTAGCAGGCAAGGCATACATGGAACGCCATAACCAAGTGGCCGGCATAGTGTACAGGAACATCTGTGCCGAGTATAACCTGGAAGTCCCGAGGTCAAAATGGGAGATGCCCCCAAGGGTGGTGGAGAATGACCAAGCTAAGATCCTTTGGGACTTCTAGATACAGTCCAACAAAATGGTGCTGGTTAACCAACCGGACATAGTAGTCGTAAATAAGCAGAAGAAGACAACTGTAGTGATCGATGTAGTGGTTCCGAATGACAGCAATATCAGGAAGAAGGAACACGAGAAGCTGGAGAAATAACAAGGGCTCAGAGAAGAGCTCGAGAGGATGTGGAGGGTGAAGGTAACGGTGGTCCCCGTGGTAATCGGAGCACTAGGTGCGGTGACTCCCAAGCTAGGCGAGTGGCTCCAGCAGATCCCGGGAATAACATCGGAGATCTCTGTCCAGAAGAGCGCAGTCCTGGGAACAGCTAAGATACTGCGCAGGACCCTCAAGCTCCCAGGCCTCTGGTAGAGGACCCGAGCTTGAAGGATAAACCGCCCACAGGGGCGTGCTAGGTGTTATATATATATATATGTGTGTGTGTATATATATATGTATATATATATATGTGTGTGTGTGTGTGTGATAGACTAGAATTACTACAATCAATTAGTTACAAGATTTTAGGGGGGGAGAAAATAAATATCAGAGCATAAACAGTATTTATGCTGAATAAAATACTGGAAAAAGTATCAAACAACTCACTCAAAATTCTGAAATATGAAATAATTAATCACAGGTTTTTAAAAATCTAATGTGACGATACCTTATAGGCACTGAACTAATTACTTCAATTACTCTAATTGAGAAAGACTGCAGATAGGAGATGAAGTGCGTCAGATACTGTTACATCTCTGTGCTGTCATCTACTACAAGTGTTATTCCAGTACATCATGTCTGACATCTAGTGTTCAACATTTAGAACTGCAAAAAAAGAAAAGAAAAGATGGAAACACTTTGGGTGATGTCAACAAGCAAGCATGAATGAAAGGGGAACAGCTGAGGGGTTTGGGGGAATCAAGTAAGAGGGAAGGTAGGAATGGCTGGCTTTCTTCAGGGGGTGACATGAGTTAATGAAATGTGACAAAATCAACTGCCTGCTATTTTCATTAAATGTATGCATTTGTTTTGTTAATAAATATTTGTTTGTGTTTCATGTTTGTCTCTGTGTGTAGAATACATCCAGCCTGTTTGCCTACCTGCATATGGCCAAAGGCTGATAGATGGACAGATGGGAACAGTGACAGGCTGGGGAAATGTAGGGTACTATGGTGAGTATACGTTACATTAGTTATTGATAAATTTGGTAATATTTCTATAGAACGTCGTCTTCTTGCATTCAGTCGTTGTTTTTGTATTTAAACTTATCATATTTTGCATGAATACTGCGGTGCACTAAATAACAATAACATAAATATAATGGGAAAGGTTTCAGTAGCGTGACGATAACAACTATTCATACGTGACTGTTTATATTCAGGTAAAAACACAGTTGCTCATATTTAAATTTTGATCATTCTAAACTATAGGCCATCTAGCAGATGTTCTACAGGAAGCCAATGTCCCCATCATCAGTGACGCCGTCTGCAATGCTCCTGACTACTACGACAACCAGATCACTACTAGTATGTTCTGTGCTGGCTATGAGAAAGGAGGCACTGATGCCTGTCAGGTCAGATTGTGCTCATGCAGCATTTCTGTCTACTTTTGTTTAGTCTGATAAGTCCTTCTTTTACTGGCATGAATATAAATTGGCATGCGTACTGGTTTGATGTTATATCAGTGTCATGCATGTGATTTTCTCTTATATTTTCCCATGGGTAGTTAAAATGTGAGTGTGTGTCTGTTGTTTTAGGGAGATAGTGGTGGACCCTTTGTGGCTGAAGACTGCTTGTCCAAGACCACTCGATATCGTCTGCTAGGAGTAGTGAGCTGGGGAACTGGCTGTGCCATGTCCAAGAAACCTGGTGTCTACACAAGAGTGTCCCGATTTCTGCCCTGGATATCCTCAGCCATGAGGGTAAGAGTCCTGCCATTTTTCATTTCATCGGACACTGCATAAAAACTGTCTGTGCAGCCCCATCCACTCAGCCAAATCTCCTTCAGTCCCAGCACTTTCGATCTTAATTGTTTGCAACATGTGATGTTCACTTGTGCAAGAATGAATCACTTGCAGGGGATGGGGTTGGAAGTCTGAACACATCTAATTAGCATCTGAAAAGGAGTGACTACATTCGCTCACATTCTGTCACTGGAAGAAGCCACCAAGAAATATCACTTGTGATTTGTCATAAATACTGATCCACTGTTATACAGGCTTAGGTAAACACCTTCATAATCACAAGTCTGTGTCAAAAGAGACTTGTCAGAAGCCTCTGGACTACACATTCCTGATTTATATTTGTATTGCAGTTGCACTATATTGCATTGATAGAAATCATTGACTTCAGGTGTCAATGATTCTACTTTTATGGCCACAGGTGTGTAAACCAAGCCCCGAGGCATGCAGACTTCTACAAACATTTGTGAAAGAATGAGTCGCTCTCAGGAGCTCAGTGAATTCCAGTGTTTTATTGTGATAGGGTTCCACCTGTGAAATTTCCTCTCTATTAAATATTCCACAGTCAGCTGTTAGTGATATTGTAACAATATGGAAGTGATTGGGAAACAACAGCAACTCTCTTTGGGGGAAAGAAGATTATGGCATTGGGTTGTTTTTCAGGAATTGGGCTCAATTTCTTAGTTCCAATGAAAGGAAACCTTAATGCTTCAGCATACCGAGACATTTTGGACAATTTCATGCTCCCAGCTTTCTGGGAACAGTTGGGGATGGCCCCTTCCTGTTCCAATATGAATCTGCACCAGTGCACAAAGTGAGGTCCATAAAGACATGATGAGCGAGTTTAGTGTGGAAGAACTTGACTGGCCTGCACAGAGTCCTGACCTCAACCCGACAAAACACCTCTGGGATTAATTTGAGTGGAGACTGTGAGCCAGGCCTTCTCGTCCAACATCAGTGTCTGACCTCACAAATGTGTTTCTGGAAGAATAGCCAAAAATTCCCATAAACACGCTCCTAGACGTTGTGGAAAGCTTTCCCAGAAGAGTTGCAAAGGGTGGGCCAACATCATATTAAACCCTATGGCTTAAGAATGGGATGTCCCTCAAGCTATTGTGCATATGAAGGCAGACAAGCAAGTACTTTTGGCAATAATGTTCCCAGACCTACGAACTGGTGGGTTTACTTCTGACATCCTCAGGCCTGTAAATCTGCAGTTACACCCAAGACTATATATTTATGTTTCCTGTGAGCAGAAAGTGCAAATATGCAAATACAGCGGAAACTACTGGATCAGTTAGTAATAATAAAGTAGATTTTTATAGCACCATCAACATGATCTCATACACACACAAACACACACGCGCAAAAACACAATAAAGAGCAAAGTCAGCTTGAATAAATAGGCAAGCATAAAACTTAAAACAACACTCACTTTATCTCACAAAGTGTTTCATGGAGTGACACAGTGGTGCAGCAGTTAAAAACCTGTTTTATGGTATTGCTTTTAGGTATTTGACTAGGGAAAGGGGTATGCAACTATTGCAAACATGAATATGTGCCGTCCTCCATGGACCCTCAATGTGGTTGAACATTAACTGGTTGAAAAGTGGGCTGGAACAGTGGTGTTCACCACAAACGAGAGAAGCGCGAGAGACATATCAAAAACATAAAGCATGAAAAGAACAGACACAATGGACACTATTTCACTTCTGCTCTTTCTGTGTTTTAACTTTGCTCTTCTCTGCTGCTGGCAACGACCAATAACAGCACTAACAAGAGTAGTCCACAGGCCAGTCATGTATGACCATAATCAGCTACAACATGTAGACAGCAGTCCTCAGAGCGGTCTCTAGGATGTGACCACCATTGAACCATGTTGATGCCTGAACATTGCCACAAAGTTCTTGGTTAAATCCTGCTGGTTGCTTCTTCTTCACGATTTTCCAGAACCCAACAATATATTTGTCGGGTTAATTTCAAACTGGCAGCAGGTTTGGATAAGAGAGTGATTTCCTGCAGCTTTGTAATGGATTTGCTTGTCATCCTATGTCAACTGTGACAATGATTAAGAAAATGGATGGATAATTGTGTGATAAAAAAATAAAACAACTGCTGTATCTCAGAGGCTTGATGATCTCCTGAGAGGAAAAATTGAGACACTAAAAGGAAAGAATGGACTGTTGTACATCGGCTTCATGTCATACTGTGATAGAGAGGCTCAGGACCAGTTCAAAAGAGCATTTCCTTTTAATTTCAGCTCTGCCGTTCTAGTCCCCCCCCCCCATGTATACAGGTCAGTGGTAGTGTGGAGATTGACTTGAGGTGACATTCAGTCAGAGATTTAATTCATTTCATTAGGCCACAGTCACACGGAGGATCTCATTATCCACGCGGTGATGTTCTGGACTTTCAGCTAGAGCGTCGTCCAAAGGAGGCAAGTCTGTGTCATCGGGCGAGCTCAGTCTGTCAAAACACAAAGCAAATACATCATAAAACATACAGCAGGTATTTAAACAGAAAAATGTGTGTCATGCTTTTGTTTTTAAACTTACAGTTCTTCAGTTTTGTAACTAGTGCAGTCGTTCTCAAAGTTGTGATGATTCATAGCTCTCTATAAAAAACACACCAAGACACAAACTGGATTATAATCTTTTTCATCTATATTCTTATAAGGAAGCTTGAGTGCTATGCAGTTGTTAATAAAACCATCACCCAACCTGGGGGATAAGATGCTCTTTGAAATGTTTCTTTGCTGCATCTGGATTGTATGCGTTTGGAGGATTTCTGTCTGAATCCGGTCCAATATGCAGACGTCTGTGATGTGTAGATGTGTATTTTGGATTAGCTTCCAATCTAGCCTGAAGAGTCGCACACAGATCGGTGAGTTCTTTGCTTCGAAAGGAAGGAGGCCTAACAATCCACCCAGCCACCCCTTCAACAGCACCATCCTCCTCCTCGGACATCATATCAATTGTTACACCCCTCCAGAAGTCCAGTTCATCTGCACTGAGGACTCCCTGCCTGGCTTCCAGCAGCTGTAAGCAGAAGCAGTACATACAGTTGTGGATGTGCAACCTCTGTGTGGTGACAGTTTGTGCACTAATGTGACTGAAAAACAGTGCAGCAGTACTGTCAGTGAGTTTAAATCACATCAGATAACTTTACCCTTTTCCTTCTCTGACAGCTGCGGGCTGCAGTCTTCATTGCTTCAGCCTGGGCTGCAAGGTCCGGCTGGCTGTAGCGGAAATTCCTGCGTATGGTCTCATAGTATGTTTTACAGGCAGCTGGAACCATTAAGAGAGCATGTCACAAACCTGGAAACAGACAAAGCTACAGTAAAAGAGTAAAGCACAAACAGTGCTTACATAGAATGGCATCTCTAGCCAGGTTGTGCAAATCCGGACTTTCAGCCAGAGCTTGGACCAAATGAGACGTGACTGCCTCATTGTGAGGCGAGCTCAGTCTGCGAAATCCAGATGTTTACACGTCAGCGATCACATTGCGATATATATGTATATATGTATTATACAGCCTGTACAACTTACACGACATAATATCTCACCCTTCTTCGGGATTATAGCGCTTGCGATTTCCCTTGGCGTTATGAAAACGACGCACCGCCTCCTACAAAATAAAACACCATAATTTACTTTATGAACAAACTCTCATCCAGCTGTTCCCAGCTCGTCAGATGTGCTAGTCGTTTAGAGCTTAGCAGTTAGCGGTGGCTTCTCTCTGCCTCTCCTGCTCGGGGTGTTTGTGCGGCTCTCCTCTGCCTCCTTAACGCACACGCCGCATACATGCACACATACATACCGCAATCTTGGGATTGTGCGCCCGTCTTTTCCTCTTCTCCTCCACACAAGCGCGGGAGTTCACTACTTCTTCTAAAGCGGTCATCCTCTCGTCTATGGAGTGCAGCTTTGCGTTTACCGCTGTTAGTTGGTCATTCACATCAGCAGCAAACCGAGTCAGCTGACGAGACAGCCCTCTCACAGCAGTGAGCAGTTTGTGGTCTCTGCTGTCCGGAGCAGCCAGCCCCGGTCTGTGCGGGGAGTTCCCGGCATTGCACGGAAAATTCAAGCCGCCAACACACGGTGTCCTAAATCTACCCAGCCTGACAACTTCTCACCAAGCGGAGAATAACATGCTCATATGGTAATAAGAGACGCTCTTCGCGAGGTTCCTCCAATCACCTGCAAGATCCTGGTCACATGGAAACCTCATCCAATTATATGCGAGGCTAAGGTCACAGGTACTCCCGGCCGGTGTGGCGCCCCCCGCCCCCAACCTCATTTGCATTTTTATAACTTACAGCATTTTCATTTGCGTGTGAAAGCCTCCACCTTACCTGGGTGGTGCCAGGCTTCTCTGACATGCAAAACTAGCTGAAATTCAAGTTCAACATAGATTCCCAGCAGTTCCTGATTTTATGTGCTGCCTACAAATTCCTGATCTCTACCTGCACCTCTGCTGCAATTCACTGTGCTGCTTACTTCAAAACCCCCACTTTCATGTGGTGATGTTCTTATTAGCGTTTTACTGTATTACTTGAATTTTATTATCTTCTAATAATAACAGAAACACAATGGTGGTGTTTACATATGTTGGGCAACATAACCTGCTGAAGTTCAAGAAAACATCAGAATGGAGAAACTGATAGGAAGGCAACGGCCTGTTACAACAGAGGTATGCAGATCTCTGAATGCACACCAGCCACAGGAGTGATGGTGTCACTCCTGCCAGCAAAGAATGGAAAAATTAGACTACACAGGCTCGTCAAAACTTGACATCAGAAGACTGGAAAAACACTGCCTGGCCTGATGAGCCTGCACAATTTGTGAGGTCAGACACTGATGTTGGATGAGAAGGCCTGGCTCGCAGTCTCTGCAGCAATTCATGCCAGAGGTGTTTTGTAAGATTAAGGTCAGGACGTTGTGGAGGTCAGCCTTCCACATTTAACTCGTTCATCCATGTCTTTATGGACCTTGCTTTGTGTATAGTCATGTTGAAACAGGAAGGGATCATCCTCAAACTGTTTCCACAATGTTGGGAGCATAAAATTGTCTAAAATGCCACGGGGCGACCGTGGTTCAGGGGGTTGGGAAGCTCATCTGTAACCGGAAGGTTGCTGGTTCAATCCCCCAGCTCTCTCTGTCCTGATCGTTGTGTCCTTGGGCAAGACACTTTACCGTACTGGTGTTGGCACGATGTGCTTCTGTCAGTCTGTCCCAGGGCAGCTGTGGCTACAACTGTAGTTTGCCTGCACCAGTGTGTGTGAATGAATAGTGGAATGTAAAGCGCTTTGGGTGCCTAGAAAAGCGCTATATAAATGCAGTCCATTATAAAATGTCTCTTTATGTTGAAGCTTTAAGGTTTCCTTTCACTGGAACTAAGGGGCTGAGCCCAATTCCTGAAAAACAACCCAACACCATAATCCCCCCTTCACCGAACCGAGTTGCAGTTGTTTCCCAATCAGGGATACTTTGTTATAATACCACTAACAGTTAACTGTGGAATATTTAGTGTTACATTGAGACCTGAGAGCGACTCATTTTGTCACAAATGTTTGTCGAAGCAGTCTGCATGTCTTAGTGCTTGGTTATATACCTGTGCCCATGAAATTGATGAGAAGACCTGAAGTTAATGTTTTGGATGGGTTGCTGAATATTGATGTTTTAAGATGAATAGAATGATACAATTAAGAATTTCATCCTGTTATAACATGTTCAATTCTGCTTTTGTTTTTCCTCAGAACTATCAAAACTCACCCGGTGTTCATAAAATGGCACGGACATGAGATTCCTGCTTTCATGTTTCTGCTTTTTCCACTCTTGGATGACAAAATGGACAGTCCCCATAAGTGATACTGTGACTACATAGGTGCTACGACAGGGGGAAACAAGGCTGTGATGTTCCCCTCTCGTCAAGCCTTCCATTCTCACTGAAGCATTTTTCTGAGGATTTTAACAACTCTCTGAGCCTTTACTGTAGAGTGAAAAGTCTGGACACACATGAAGGTGTGACACAGTCACACCTTCATACCGTACATATTATCAAATGTTAACAGAGGCTTATGTCTTTGCAGGGATACACAGACAGAGCCCAGACATGAGGATCTCAAGTGATGAGCTTACTGATTCACTGCAGTAATCAGAACCACTACAGTTTGTAAACTACATTATTTTTCTGACACCATTTTCTTTGCATTTCTGTGGAAAAAAAAAAGTTACCAGAAGTAAACCTATAAATACAACATCAGTTAATTGCGTACTTATAAGGTCTGTTTGAAGAATTCATGATGTAATTTCAAGCCTCATTTTATGAAATTCTTCTTTATGTGGAGATTTTATTTGTTCGCCCCACACAAGTCACTTTCTTCAGTGTTGGTCTTCCTGCAGCCTTCTACTCAGCAAGCCACAGTGAGTGCACCCTGCATCATCAATTAGTACTAAATACTTAAAGTACTTTGGTCTTAACAGAAAACTAGAGATTAGTGCTAATTAACATGTAGAGAAATCCTGGAGTTTCTGTTTTTTAAACTTAAAACTCATAACAGTCATTTACAGTTCAACCTGTACGTGTGTGATACACGCCATATCTTTTTATATGCAGTAGCTTTACTTTTTTATAATAAAAATAATAATAAATCATACAGATTACAGTTAAAATCAATCAGTTTTTTGTTGTTGCCTTGTAAATATTAGTCAGTGTCTTGTTTATGTAGATGTTTATTTGTGACATTTTACACATGTCTAAAAGACTTGCTGATCTGAAGAGCCAACAGTGCAATACCGACTATAATCATGTTCTTATTAAATATGTACGTTGCAGACTTTTATACTTCTACTTGTGACTTTCAACTTTCAAATGCTAAAGGTGTCCCATCACATTAACTGGTTTTATTCCTCCTACACACATATACGCACACACATTACTGTATATCTTGGTTTTGTTCTTACTTATTAGAGTGGCTGCTGAAAATTGAATTTATACATGACCCAAATAAATGATTCGATATTCTACATCAAGAACATCAACATCTTTTTATGATGTAGGCGTCAGTGGTAAGATTGACTTGTAAACAGATTTTACCAAGCAGGAAGTACTGCAGTTCAATCAAGTCTGTTCAGTCTAATAGTTACTATTTCGGACCACCATGTGGAATAAAATTGTTTTACACTTACAGGATTTATCATGTGCATACTATAAATATTGTAAAATGTAATTGTTGCATTGAGTGTTGCATTGAAATAAAGCTTTAATTGGCCGCAGGCATCTTGTAACAATATTCATTGTTCATTCATTCGAGCTAAATAAATAAATTCAGCTAAATAAAATAACAGTACAGAGCAGTTTTACAGTAACCCAGACTTAACAGAAATAACACGAGTGCTCTGCCACTGCACAGCGTACACCCCTGCACCCACAGGAAGAATATCGAGACCTGGATTCGTTTGTGATGTTTCTTGAGAAAGTCACACTTTGTCCTGTCTGTAAATAGTAAAATATTATTCTTGAAGAAATTCCTAAAGCGCCAATCTCCTCCTCCCTGTCAGCTAAAATTGTGACTCATATCTGTTTATAATATATTAATCAATCCCATTAACAAATTAATTCACAAGCTGAACCAGTCTCATTACCTCTTAGCTGATGGAATGACAGAAATGTCATTTTTTCTCCCTGCCATCCTTTAAAACATATTTTAAATTTCACATGCTATTAATTTGATCAGTTGTGTTTTTACAACATAAACAGTGCAACAACATGATTGCTATAAATAATTAAAATTATTTCAATAAAAAACATTTAGTTTTCAAACGTTTTAACACTCCTGAAAACAGGTTTGCCTTAAGATGACGGTACACTGAGCTTTAAACTTGCTTATTTTCTTGAGAGGAAGAGGGCACATGACAAAATGCAGAGACTCAGCTGGATTTAAACACAGAGGCGTAGATCACAGAGTCGTTGTTTTCTCTTGCTTCGGACCTGAGGAGAAAACAGTGGAATGAACAATGTGGTTGGGTCGCAGTCTGAAGCTGTGTCAGGTGTCACTTCTGTGATAACCTTTATGATGACACACCGATAGCAACACTGAGGCAGTTTAAGATCAGTTTTGTTATCATGGAGTGTGGTTGTGTCTCCTTTAGTAACGTTTCTAGAAATGTGCAGGCTTTAGCCATTGTTATAAAGATAAATCTTAATTTTTTTATCTGTGATGATTTCAGTTATTTTGCTTTAGTTGGAGACGTGTGTGGAAACCCTACAATGCTGTGCTGTGAACATGTCAGAGTTTGGAGAGGAAGCATACCAGGAGTGCTGTGGCCGTCTGTTGGAGTTCAGGTGATGTGGAAAACTGGGGTCTTTGGGCCTGATGGTCACTGTGGAATAGGTAACCTCATCTTCATAAGAAGTGGTATCCTAAGAGAAAGAAGAAGTTGATGTAATATGAGTGTGTTGTGTTTAGTAGAGATGCTGAACAGTTACGACTGTGGATCATTACTTACATCCCGGTGTGAGCTCCTCTGTGAAGCCGTAGAAATGGCCTGAGGAGGGCCAGAGGGAGTCGAGGATGGAAGCGGGTGGATGTTAGCATAAGTGGTGTCAGGTGGATCTTCGGCGGCTGATGATCTTGATCTTGTTCTGATGAGCCTGGAGTCAAACACTCTCTGCCAGAGTGGACACATCCAAATCATCACTCTACTAGAATATTTGGTCTGCTATCTGTGTGTGTGTGTGTGCATGCTCTTCAGCGGGATACTTCCCAAACCTGTGTGTAACTGACAGATATGGCTTATTTAAAGATTTTTTTGCATGTACTCACTTTCTTGTCTGTGCTAGTCTTCTGTTTCTTCCTGCCATGACAACAAAATTTAAAAAGATAAATAAATCAAGGGTTAAATATGTCAAAAGTTGTGCCAACTCAAGCCAGAACAGAATGTTCTACGTTGCTCAGTCACGTTTCCTAATGTTTAAGGGAAGCTGTTATGTAATACTAGCAAACACAGGCAGCTTACATGCTAAAATACTGCCTTCTAGGAGTTTCTTAATATATCAAAACTAACTAAATGTACAGACACAATCTATAAAGAATCCATGAAAGTCGTTTTATGTATAGTAGTGACCTTCTGTGCTGATATGGACCCTAGCAATGAATGCTCCCCTCCCTACTAAATGCCAAGATACCGACTGTCAGTGTAGAAATATGCTGCGGTGACTGATGTGTTAAAAATGGCAGCAGCAGAATGGAAATTCAGATGACACACACGGTGCATGTTAACACTCATTACAGCATTAGGTAAGACACGTTTTTAAAAGTTCTGCAACACGTGAAAAAAAATACAGTGACATAAGAAATATGCACATTTAAGTAAGTGTTTAAGTGCAAAAAATGACATGAGTCAGCCTCACTAAAGCCTCACTCTCCATCTCTTACTGACTCACCGGAACAGAAGAAGCGCCACCACTAGTGTCACAAGAAGAAAAACTCCAATTCCATCCACGACTGGGAGGGACTGCCCTTCTGAGGGGAAAGCACACACTCAGCTTGGAAATAACATATAGTCAATTAGCTCAATAAATTTCAATAAAGGAATTGAGGCAACTTAAGATTTATTTTTCATATCAGATTAAGAGGTTGTGGTATTTGGCACAGATTGCCTTTTGAGGATACAACGAGCATCTGTAAGTATTGGCTCCTACCATCCTGCTTTCTCTGCATGGACAGCAGCACCTGAGTTGAGTTGCTCTCCCCGAGACTGTTCCTGACCTTGCAGAGGTACACTCCACTGTGGGACTCTTCCACAGAGGGAAGGGAGAGCAGCTGTCCTGAGCCCACCTGCAGCATGGAGCTGGTGGAGTCAGAGTCAACCATTTTGTACCATATGTAGCTGTCTGCTGCGGGGTTAGCCACACCGCTGCAGGTCAGATTGACACTGCTGCCCTCATCAAACAGCTGTGGATCCACTGAAATGGAAATGTTTGTTGGAGGGTCTGAAAAAGCCCAAACATCATGATTGTTAACAGATTTGTTATAAAAAGACAGGAAAAATGGTGATAAGTGATCAGCTGTTCACAACCTCTTCTTCTTTGAGTGCTAAAATCTGAAGAGACACATTACAACTAAAATAATTACATTTAAATGTGCTCTCTTGTCTTCCTAATAAAAACAGAAGAGATACACTTCTCAATAGCTTTAAGATCCAAAATGTAAATTAAAAAAAAGGATGACACCCCCCCCCGGCACACACACACACACACACACACACACACACACACACACACACACACACACGCACACACAAAAGCTGCTGACTTTAATTAATTTGGTTGCATGTAATCTTGCATCTAACTTTGATGCCTAACTTCAGTGGAAAATGTTACATTTGTTGGAATCTTGTTAAAGATTAATTCTTTGAATGAATAAACCTTAAGAGTATCAGTTAAACTCTAATTTCATCACGTATTTGTTAGGACAGGACAGACTTTGTCTTCCAGAAGTGATCTCTAAATTAAAGTGGGCATGTAGGACTAATTTGGACCATGGAGCCCTAAAAAACTGTTATAGATTTAACTCTTTCCGTGAAGCTCAATTTAGGAAATAAATGTTTAAAATAAAAGTTTTTAGAACCCACATAAACCCACCTAAACACTAAAAAACAGTCTAAGGGGGTCACCTTAGACTGCAACAATTAGATTTTTTAAAAATGTGTTTCTGGTCCTTTCATTCATCAGTCTCTTCTCCCTATGGACAACACTAAAGAACTTGTTAACTTGTGAATAATCAGGTCTTAGAAAATTTCCTTTTTAAGTAGATGGTGAAACCAGTTAGACGACATGTGTGCTTTACTGTAAAAAGTTAAAAAATGATGCATCAGCATGGATATTTTAATATCACTTCCTCCAGACTGAACTTTTTGACACATTGTGACAGCAAACAGACAGACTGTAGCAATCATCAGGAAGTTGTGATATCAGTCAGTTGAGGATTGCCTTTGAAATGTCTGACACTGTACTCATGACCATGTGTCTAATTGCCCTCCTAGATAGCTTCCAAGTAACCAGACACACTCACATCTAACGTCAAGGTGAACCTCTGTCGAGTTGATCAAGTCGATGCCCCTCCAGCTGATGTTATTCCATGCCTGGCAGTAGTACCATCCTCTGTCGCTGGGGAGGATGTCAGAGATGATGTAATTCTGCCCTGAACTGAGAAGCTGTCCATCCTTATACAGGCTGTATCCGCTGTGTGCCACAGGAGGGTTGGCATCGCTGCTGCAGGTCAAAGTCGCTGTCCCTCCACTGCGGATGTCTCCCCATGGACTCACTGATAGTGTCACTTCTCTGGGAGCGTCTGCTTGAGAGGAGATAAGGAAGTGTAGCCACATGGATGATAAATCCTGATCGTAATGATGGAGTCATTAAAAGTGTCAATACATGCAACAAAAATAAAATACAATGAAGGAAAATTTCAGTATTTTACTTCCCCTTTTCTGTTTTTAAAACTAATTTTTACAAGCCACAAAAAAACTCCTCTGTCATCCTGCTGTCTCTTATCTCATCGGCATGGGCCACAACAATGGTGCTCATGCTGGATAAAACATAGCCTTATCTGACCTTATTTCACACTTAGATCAAACTTCAAGCAGCCTTTAACCTAATTTCCCAGAGTAAAGGTGATATATTGTGATGTCCAAGTGAGGATATGTAAAAGTACAACTTGAGCCAATTTCTGGACACAATTGTCCAAAAATGATTCTAATAATTCACATGATCAAAGTTATTGAAATATTATGATGAGATTCAAGTGTACTCCTGTAACAATTGGTCTTCCTCACAGGAGACAGAAAGAAAAACACAGTCATATATAATAAAGTTAATCATATATTCATGTAGCACGTGAATAGAGCGGGGCCTGTAACTTGAATTCTGTGGTATGCTTTCTTAACCCTCTACTCACATTGAACATTCAGAGCCACAGGTGCGGATCTGACTGATTCCTGTCCATGGACTGCACAATAGTAGTCCCCAGCATCCTCTCTCCTGGCCTGGAAGACTGGATTTGACACAGGTTGCCCATCTCTGAACCAGACAATGTCTTTAGGCTCAGGACAGCCTGACATACAGGTCAGCGCGACATGACCTCCCTCTGTCACAGTGCTCGGCTCGATGACTGTGGTCAGCTCTGATAAAGAAACATAAATCAATAAATGTTTGCTAAACTCATTGAAACAGAAATGTTCTCGTAATTAGTTGTTACCTCCCACAGACAAGTAC